GATCATTGGATATGCAATCCTGGTTTTATAAGCATGCTTAAGTTGCTTGAATTGGTCCCAGTGTTTACTTGGAGTCAGAGAGGTTCAAAAGTAATAACAAATGAGAAAAAAAGAAAAAGGCTCATACATGTAATTGAAACGGTGTGCCTCTAAAAATAGTTTTATGTGCATAATTATGTGTTTCCCTGACCTGTAAGTAGCCCAGATGTTTATTGATATCTCCGGACCTGGGACACAGCTGCATAGAAAGTATGCCCTGACCTAGCAGGGCCTCAGATACATACCTCCACCCTCTCAATCATCCCTCCATCCTGGCCACATACGCCCCTGGCTGTACCTGAACTGAGGAATAGCCAGCTGCTTGCATTGCCTTCAAGGTTTTCCAAGTGTCTGTTCTTTCCAATCGTTTCATTTAGTCGTTTAGTCGTGTCCGACTCTTCGTGACCCCATGGACCAGAGCATGCCAGGCCCTCCTATCTTCTACTGCCTCCCGGAGTTGTGTCAAATTCATGTTGGTTGCTTCGCAGACACTGTCCAGCCATCTCATGCTCGGCCGTCCCCTTCTCCTTTTGCCATCACACTTTCCCATCATCAATGTCTTTTCCAGGGAGTCTTTTCTTCTCATTAGATGGCCAAAGTACTGGAGCCTCAGCTTCAGGATCTGTCCTTCCAGTGAGCACTCAGGGTTGATTTCCTTTAGAATTGATAGGTTTGTTCTCCTTGCAGTCCAGAGGACTCTCAAGGGCCTTCTCCAGCACCACAATTCAAAGATACTGGAGTGGCAATGCCAACTCCTCCAGCACCACAATTCAAAGATACTGGAGTGGCAATGCCACTCCAGTATCTTTGCCAAGAATGCCCCATGATCAGAAACAAAAGGTTCTTTCCAATATGGTTATCTTTTCTCCACTGTCTTTCCCTAACTCCATGCACAGACTCTCTCAGCTCTTCTACAAACTTTGAGCTGTAGGTTCACTCCTCCAAGATTCATGCTTCTGGCATCCTGTGTTTCAAATTGCACGTGACATGTCCCACTGCCCATTACAATTAACAATAGTGCTTGAAAAACTGTATTTTATTATATTTTTACTACCACTCCCAGAAACCAGCTAGTATAGCATTTGCTGGGGGAGTATGTGAGTTGTACTGCCTTATTAACTTTTCTGAGCATTCTTGAGCACAACTGGAGTGGCAATGCCAACTCCTCCAGCACAATTCAAAGCTACTGGAGTGGCAATGTTGACTAGGTTATCAGCAGGTTTCACTTGCTTGTTGTTGTATTAGCTGTGATAAGAAAATAACTTCTTGACCATGATCAGCTGCTAGCAGTGGAAAAGCAAAGTATGCCCCATAGTGCATACTATTAAGATTGCTGAAAGCAATTTCTGGGCAGTTTACAATTTAATTATGCAGTCTACACATTCCCACCCCCACCCCCAGCGAGCTGTGTACTCAATAGAAATAGGTACACGCGTATGAACCAACATGAATCTCCGAACCAAGGTTTGGGCTGATCTCTAGCACTCAGCTTACTGACTTGGAAGGATGAAAGGCAGAGTTCAACCTTGCGCCTGTCTGGATGAAATTCAGGTCATGAGCAGAGTCTTCACTGCAGCACAGCAGCTTAACCACTGTGTCACAAGGCTCCTAACTAGCCTATTTAGACCTCCTTTCCTGTGGGCCATCCATGTACCTCTTCAGCATGTTTGCATTAAATTGGACTTTCCATCTACAAAGGACAAATCTAACACCCACAATTAGCTAACTTGTACCATTTTGGAAGTGGCAATTCCTCATTGCCTGTTCTCCCCAAACCACTTTCCCATGTCGTAGTAGTTTCCCAAGTTTGGGTAACCCAGGTGTTCTTGGACTACAACTCCCAGAAACCCCAGGAAAACCTGTTAATGGTGAAGGCTTCTGGGAGTTGCAGTCCAAAAATTCTTTCATGGATTGCTGCCTTGTCGTGGTGGATGGGCTTGAGTAATTCAGAGAAGCCATGTGCTGTGCCGTGCAGGGACACCCAAGACGGACAGGTCATAGTGGAGAGTTCTGACTAAACACAATCCACCTGGAGCAGAAACTGGCAAACCACTCCAGTATCTTTGCGAAGAGAGCTTCATGGACGGAAACAAAAGCCAAAATATATGATCCTGGAAGATAAGCCCCTCAGGTTGGACGGCACCCAACATGCTACTGAGGAAGAGCGGAGGAGAAGTACAAGTAGCTCCAGAGTTAATGAAGTGGTTGGGCCAAAGCCAAAAGGACGCTCAGCTGCGGACGTGCCTGGAAGTGAAAGGAAAGTCCGATGCTGCAAAGAAAAATACTGCATAGGAACCTGGAATGTAAGATCTATGCACCTTGGGAAGCTGGATGTGGTCAAACAGGAGATGGCAAGAATAAACATTGAACTAAAATGGATGGGAATGGACAAATTCAATTCAGATGATTATCATATCTACTATTGTGGGCAAGAATCCCGTAGAAGAAATGGAGTAGCCCTCATAGTCAACAAAAGAGTGGGAAAAGCTGTAATGGGATACAATCCCAAAAATGATAGAATGATTTCAATATGAATCCAAGGCAGGCCTTTC